GTTCATTATTTTTTGTTATCGCTGAATCTGCATCCGAATCGATGGAAAATGCAGAAACATTTTATGCAAACTGTTTTTTTTCTTCTTGCATGAAATACAATTGAAATGCGGTCGCCGAGATCCGGGTATTTTTTTTTCAAGTTGGCGATTTTTTTTTTAGTTGGGGTTTTGGACCAATCGACGTGTCTCGTTTCTCAGCATAACTGATCCTGGTGACCTCGAATTCATGCTTTCTTTGTTGTCTTTCACAGGTTGACCGTCTTGTGATCCTGCACGAAGAGGCCGAGGATGGGAACGCAATGCCGGATCTGTCGCGGCCCGTCGGCGCCGTTAGCAACGCCGTCGCCAACCTCATTAAGGTCAGTCACAACCGCACGAAGACAGTCCTTTTTTGTTTTTTGGTACTGTGCCTCTTTCATCGCCGAATAAATCGAGGATTTCGCATCGTAAATGACCTTTATAAAGAAGGACTTTTAAAAAGTCGTTTTTTTCTTTCATAAATCCACAAGAGTATGCAGTGCAGTACTAAATTTTGGACTGAAAGGTGCAAAAATTGATGAGTACGAACCAGGCGTGGACATACAGTACTCGCAATTATTCACGCTGCGTGCGAATATAGGTCACAACCTAATTTATATTCCCGGAAAAACGAGTTTATATCTTGCAAAAAAGGGAACTTTGGAGAGAAAAATGTGAGAGAACGATGATAGAGGTGGATTTTAATTCAGTTTCGAAGTTTTCACCATGACGTTCTCTCAATAGGGAAAATTACTTCGTTTTGGGATAACAGTCAGCAGGCTTCCGATCGAGCATTTCTTAACATGAGTAGATTCTCTGCAACGATTTTGTCTGCAGCGATATTTCTGTATAAAGAATTTGTGTGTGGGTTTCTTCTATACCTGTCTTAAAGAGGGTCTGTACAACGATTTTTTTTCTGGTTCTCTGAATGTTTTGTGGAAGGAGTCTATCTGGTATTTTATTATTTTAAGCATCCAAGAAATTGTTTTTTCAATAATTCGAAACCTTTTGGGCACAATTCTGAAACTTGAAATTCATTACAGGCCACATTTTTACATTACTTATATCAGTGCGACTTATGCTTGAATATCTTGAGAAAGGCCGCTGGAGGGTGTAGGAAAAGAGTTTTTGGATATGGAGTGCGGACTGGTAGTTCATTGAGCACGACGTTTTCGTTCTGAACTTGAATGAAAAACCCAGGTGGTAATTTACAAAGAGCAATTGTCACCTTAGTATACTGTATTTTGAAATTCTGGAAAATACTGTACTCTACAAGGTTTTGATTTCATGCCTACAAATGCTCAGATTTTGCGTCGAATTTTTCTGGGTTCTGTAGAGATAATTCTCAACAAGCGCTAAGTTATATCCAATTATGTATTTGACGCACTGTATTATCTTTCATTCGTTTTGGTTTTCCCAATTTCAGACTATTTTTGGACACAGCCCCAAACCTGAAATCTACCAAAACCCTCGATGGTTTCTATGGTTCAGAAAAGTTACCTTCACTTCAATTGGGATAAAATTAGCTTATGAGTCAAATTTTTTTTTCTCCTCATCTTTGCACCTACTGGATTTCTTGAGGTTAATTTGCAAACATTCCACGACGCTCTTTATGTGCGGTAATACATTCAGCACGCATTCCGATCCTGTTTCATGACCTTTTTCTTGGTGTGCGAAGATTGAACTTTTAGTTCTTCGTGTCTCTTTTCTTTTTTTAAAAACCTGAATATTTTATTTTAACGTTAATTCGTATTTTTCTAATGAAGCACGGCACTTTCGACTCGAAGTATCCATCTCGGGAAGGCCCCCGCATTCTTCATGTTCCAGCTCTCCAGGCCTGGAACCCCAGAGGCAAAATGCGGTTCAGTTGAGGAAATAGAAATAAAAATAAAATAAAATAAAATACCTGGGGCCCTTGGGCTGCTGGTTCTGCTCTGGCTGATGCCTGTAATAACCTCGTTTTTCAAGGGGGGTGGGGGTCGGAAGTATGAAATCCTTGAAGCATTACTGGAATGAGTAGTAGTAGTAGGTAGTGCATGGAATCCCGGGATGATTTCTGCGCTTATTTCTCCAGCCATGTAATGTAAGGGCACGTGGAAGTTGGTTTTGAGAGTAAAATATAAATGCCAGGCAGGGAAAGTGCGTTTCGCTGTAACGCCGTATTTAAAAATGGGAATTTTTTTTTAGATGTTTGTGACCGTTTTTAGAATGGGGTTTCATGCACAAATTCGTTACAACTCAGCCGACCATTGACTTTTTGGTTGTTGAAAATTTTTCGACGAACGGTCACAAACATTCAAATACGAATTTTTGTTATTTTATTATTCTTGCGGCATTGCCATGATTATATTTTTTTTTAGCGTTCAATTTTATTTTCTGCGACTCATTTTTGATGGGAATTTTTTTGAAAAAAGCTAAACTCGACTCTGTAACGTGATTCTTCTATTGATTCCTCGATGGGGTGAAGCGAAAAGTACAAAATCTCTGTGAAGGCAGATAAAGAAGAAAAAGTTGCTGTATATTTTTTCCATGTTGGAACCACGAAGAATGAAAAGGAGTTCACTAGTTTTTTTATGTCTTAGAGCAAGCGGTACAAGACCGTCAAAAATTCAAGGAAAAATTTGAAAAAGTGAACTCGAATTTCCCCTCAACTAGCTGTAGAAAAAAATCCCTCAAATTAACGTGGTATTCATTTATTGATTCGTTATATGGCTCAAATAGATTAATTTTTGCGTGCATCAAGAGTACACTAGTTTGGGTATTTCGGATCATGCGCGAAAAGACCGATAAAAATCCTTACACAAATCAGAAAATATGTTCTTGAACTCGAATTTTTCCTCGTCAACTAGTTACGGAAGAAATTCCATAAGTCAACTTCGTTATTTTTTTTTTCAATTTACCAATCCATTAAACAGCTGAAATTCATTTTTTTTCGTAAATCCATTCAAGCGTTCCCACTTGTTCCTCGAACGAAGTGGAACAATGGGAAACGTATTTCGTGAATAAGAGCCTGGGTACGTTCTGGAATTCGGGCCTCAAACAAAGCTGGTAAGCCAGCAAATAAACCGTGAACGGAATCCCCTCTGCAAATATGCCCACGAATCCCGATTTCATCGTCTCTAAGCGCTTACGAAGAAGTACTGGGCTTGTCGACTGGAGATTAATCGATCGACGCCGCGCAGCCTTGAAAATACCTAATAAGATACCTTGGTGGCGAAAAAGGTATAACTGGCGATTATAAAGATGGATTACTGTTACCTGCTATTCATTGGATGTTGTAAACTGATATCAGTTGTCCTTCTAGACCAGAAAAAAAAAATTTTGCTAAATTTCAAGAGAAAATCTCAAGAGTTACACATTCAATTATATTCCCGGAAATTTGTTTAAAATGAATACAGGTACAGTATTGTATTCATAAAAATACTGTACTCTAAAGATTTTGAATTCTCGCTCTGAGGAACCTACTGGAATTTTGTGAAGAAACCCATGACCGAACCTTCATTTACGGAGCGCATTTAATCCTCATCTGCGGGATGCACCAGAAAGAAGTAGGCCAATATTCAAATAGCCATTTCTCTTGCATGACTGGAACTACCGCTTTAAAAATATAAAATTTAAATCGATCCAATCATTTTCTCGAGGATGTTCAATTTTCCGGCCCCCAAACAGCTTTCACGTGACCGCCATGACCGCTAGAGAAATGTGATGCTGCATTTGAAAAGTCTAGTCGTTTCAACTCTGCAGTGAAATTCTACCGTACTTCGATACTCGATTGATCCACTTCGGCATAATTAAGACTTCTGATTGCATTTCGGATGCAATTTCTGTCTCAGGATCCTTTGTAAATCCTTCGGAATGGATCAGCGACGGAACGTGAGGAGGGGAAGCTTTTCCTCAAAGGGGACCGTAGTACAGTTGAACCCGGTTAAACTGCCCCCCGATTAACCGCCACCCTCGCTTCCCGCCATTTTTTCCTCCCAAACAAATCTTCTCAAGCTTGAAGGGATGGGAAAACCCCATTTATCCGCCATCCGCCAATGTTTTTTGCCAAACAAACAGGATCTTGAAACTGTTTTTTACCCCAATAAACCGCCAATTTTTGGCTCCTCTGTTCAAAAGCTTTATATTTCTGTTAATGTTTTTTTAATTATTTGTTTTCTCAATTTAAAGATGCAAAGAATGGGAGATTTATGTCCCCACAAAAAAAATGAATGAAGAGTCATCTTCACCAAAAGCAGGATGGGGAGGGATAGAGGGTGAAACATAAAAAAAAATCAAATACACTTATTCATTAAATACTGTGGCAACCCCTCCCTTGTTAAACCGCCAAAATTCTGCTGCACAAACGGCGGTTTAACGGGGTTTGACTGTCTAGAAACGAAGCACACTTCGGACTAAAACGAAGGATTCGAAAGCAAATTTGTTGCTTTCCTTGTCTCTCCTGGTGCTTCTTCGTGATTCCAATTTTTAGAAAGAACTTGCTCTCGAAATGAGAGGGAAAACCTTCCTCGATTTGATGCATCTGTAAATTATGTGGGTAAATGTTGTTTCTTTCCGTCTCCTAAAGAAACCCTTGTATCATACTGCGGAACTGCTACGAAAGGCATTCTCTGATTTTCGCATGTGAAAAACATCTTTAAAGGGAAATGAGTCTTACGAGTCATGGGATGGAAATAAATTGAAAAAAAAAATACCGTCGCTTTTCTCTCGGGAAAGTGAAGCTGTCAAAGTTTTTCTTTCCTTTCCTCCCCTCGCGAATAAACTCATCATTGCTTATATTGAAAACCTTCGAGCTACATTTGTCACGTCGCTTTTGATGATTTTCAGCAAAGAGAGCCGAGTTTTATTTCTTGGAGAACTTGAAACTTCTCATCGCTGGGAAATCTCCAGCGACAGAAAGACGAAAGCTGATTTCATGTCAGGAATTTCTGAGCAAATTTCTATTATTTCTCTTGCCGTGAAATGCCTTTATAATCTCCAACATGAAAATAAACGTTCATTTTCTAAGAAATCGATTACTGTCCAAGAAAGTATTCTTTCATACTTCGATTGCTCTCTAAGAAATACATTTAAAGTCGTGGAAAGGAATCACGCGGAATTTCCTAGTTTTTTTTTAACGACAAAATCCTACAAAGAAAAAGTTGTAGCTATTTTTTTGTGCAGTAGATGAATTGTCGATGATTTGTTTGCATCGTGAAAAAAAACCCGAACAGTTCAAGTCTTATTCGAAATTTATTTCGGTTGAAAGTTTGTTCTGAAAAGTACTTTCCCAGCCTCCATGAAAAATAATCAGAATACTGTATAATTATTTTTCGTTCATTTGTGAATCTGACGCGAGGAACGAATACTGATTCGAAAGGAATAAGTCGTGGGAAAGTACATACAGTATTCCTTGCGTTTTCATTCCATTTTACATTATTTATCACGTTGGTGAGAACCCGGCTGTTCCTTTTGAAGATTATCCGGGTATCATTTCTCGCTCACTACGTATGTCTCACTTTTTTTTTCCCCACTTCTTTTTGCAGGTCGGTCGTGAAACGATCAACAGCAGCGACGATGCCATCCTGCGACAGGACATGCCAGCGTCGCTGCACCGCGTTGAAGAAGCCTCACGATTGCTGGAGGACGCTTGCCGCATGCTTCGAGCTGATCCCTTCTCCCAACCCGCGAGGTGAAAATTTATGCCAGATAAACCCATCGTATCTGAACCTGTCTTGCTAAAAACAAAAGCAAAAAATGTTGGAAAGAAAATGAATACTGTATTGGGTACTTTCCTGTTATCTATGTACCTAATTTCCTGTTATCTCTGTGCCTACTGCACGTTGGACATCTAAGGAGGATACATCATTTTTCTAATTGGCCCAAAAAATCATTTGGTCAGACCCCGAGATGCGGACGTAATTGGTGCATCAAGTGTGTATTGATGTCGGAATGTCTCTTAAGTCGAGTCTCATTCTCCTTTAGACTTCAATGCTAATGTATTTCATTGGTTTTCTTTTTCGTCATAAATTGGAAATAAGTCCTCAAAATTGGATGAAAATTGTTTCCCTCTACTTTCCTGTTATCTCTGTACCTTCCCTCTGACCAATTTAACCTGATCTAACCTAACTTCACCTAACCGCCTCCCAAAATCTGTTTCAGCAAAATGCGGAAAAATAAAATTCACAGTTTTCTGGTAGGTCGTCGTGATTATGAACTCGTCCTAAATATTTGTCTGGATGGTAGTGCGGTCTAGGAATGAGGTACAGAGATAGCAGGAAAGTACCGAATATTGTAATGTTGAGACTCGGAAAGCACACTTTCACGTGTAGTGTACAGGAGAGAGTATTCAACCTTCCTGAGTATAGAACCTCTTCAAGCCAGAAACCGGCCTAATTTCTGGTGAATCCCTGACTAACGCAGTACCTTCGAAGACTGTCGTATCTCCATAAATGAAAGCTTCTTGGCTCTTGCTTCCCTTTGTTGATTTTCCCCCTGCTTTTTTATGCTGTTGAACTCGGGGTGAATTTTAGAAAACTTGTTTCAGAAGAATAGAACAGATGGAAATGATTATCTCGATGCTTTCCTTGAGGGATTACCAAACTTCCTGCACGTAGGACATCTAAGGAGGATACATCATTTTTCTAATTGGGCCAAAAAATCATTGAACTGTCACACCCCGAGATGCGGACGTAATTGGTGCATCAAGAGTGTATTGATGTCGGAATGTCTCTTAAGTCGAGTCTAATTTTCCTTTAGAATTCAATGCTAATGTATTTCATTGGTTTTCTTTTTCGTCATGAATTGGAAATAAGTCCTCAAAATTTGATAAATTGTTTCCCTCAACTTCAAATTGTAGAAAACAACAGTACAGAACAACCACATAGAATCTGATCTTATGGTATCAAAAGGAGATGTAAAAATAAAAGAAAAAGAAAAGGTCTTGCTAGAATATGCACAGATGATAGAAAAAAAAACTATGAAAAAAGAAGCACAAAATCAGCTAGCTTTTGATTATGGATTGGAGTGAATTTATCATGAAATATTTTTTCAATTTTTTGAATATAAATAGCTTGATTTCTTCAAAAATATCAAGATTAAAAAAATAAAATGTTTTGACTTTTTGTGAATATTTCAGAAAAGTGTCCCTAACTCGAGCCAGTTTACGGATGTCGAGCGTGATGTTGTTTTGTTTTCTGGTGTCCCGAAGTCAAATTGCCCGTATGTCGGGGCGTCCGTATATCGGGTTCTCACTAGACTAATCAGACCTTATTCCCTAACTCAACAACTCTTTTTTCGATTCCGAGTCTCTTCAAATTTGACACAGAGATTAAACTGCGTGATGAACGCACTAAAAGCTAGTGGAAGCGAAGGTTGATTGATTTCCGCCTTGGATCGTGGCACAGATATCCATCATATGTAAAAATCAATACGTGCCGATTTGAAGCGGATTGAATGATATCGCCAGGTTTCAAATAGTTTGCCAAACAGAACAGTTGTAGCCTTCACAAGAATTAAACATTTTGGGATAATATAATATACCGTAGTACAGTACTGACTCACATCGTGAGCTTGGAGTATAAATTAGATTTAGAACGGCTTTTCAGTAGCTGCGAAGGATCGCGCACTCGTCAGCTGCCGACGCGACCTGACTTTGCTAGTTATTTCCCTGAAAGTCTGACATTAGCCAGATATAATTTAGAATTGCCAGTTTTTTCTGTCAGTGTACGGTGGAGCAACAGCAAAAAAAAATCGAATGGACAATGAGGGCTTTCCGAATTCCTGCGTGCGAAATTTCCGAATGATTTTTTGCCGGTCACAGTTTCGTGTCTGGGTTCTTTAAATGTTCTTCGAAAGGGTCGAATGATTTTAGCCCGTACTCAGAATTTCGATTGGAAGTAATCATTAAAATAAGTTAGAAATCGCCTGTGAAGTGTTATGAAAATATTTTTTTGGTGGAGCTGTTGACAATTAGTTTTTCTTTACCGTGTAGGGATGAATCAACTGGTTGAAAAAAGATTAAAATTTCTTAGTCTGCTCTGCATTAGATTAAGTTGGGTTGAGCTGGTTGCCAATACAGTTTTTTGTGATCCTACTCGAAGAGATAACCGTCTTTCTAAAATTAAATTTCTTACTGCGTTGAAAGGAATCATCCTTTTGTTCAAAGTAAATGACGAAACTTGGTTTAATCAATCTGACGAAATTGGGTCATCTTTCTTTGCTGTTAAACGAGGATTTTCGAGAACTTCTATCGAAATTCTGCAGATCTTGATGCTGGGTTCAACTTCAAATAGAGTATCGTTAATTGTCCAGTTGATTGACGTTCTGTGAGGTACGTAACGGCTGACAATAGCCCGAGGTTTTTTTTTCTGCGATTCAAATGAGATTAAAGCTGTTTTTGTCGTTCTTTTTTGCCAGTTGATTTTTCAAGGAGGAAGTAACTTTTAAAAATTTGGATCCTGTGAAAAGAAAAACGGATTGTCGTCCGAGATGGAGCAGTTATTTTTCTTTTCTCCCAGAACAGAAAGCTTTCAAAACATTGCCTCTGTCAAGTACTCTACTTACGTATGAAACCACGGGGAACTTTCGTAGAACAATGCATGCACGAAGAAAANATTAAATTTCTTACTGCGTTGAAAGGAATCATCCTTTTGTTCAAAGTAAATGACGAAACTTGGTTTAATCAATCTGACGAAATTGGGTCATCTTTCTTTGCTGTTAAACGAGGATTTTCGAGAACTTCTATCGAAATTCTGCAGATCTTGATGCTGGGTTCAACTTCAAATAGAGTATCGTTAATTGTCCAGTTGATTGACGTTCTGTGAGGTACGTAACGGCTGACAATAGCCCGAGGTTTTTTTTTCTGCGATTCAAATGAGATTAAAGCTGTTTTTGTCGTTCTTTTTTGCCAGTTGATTTTTCAAGGAGGAAGTAACTTTTAAAAATTTGGATCCTGTGAAAAGAAAAACGGATTGTCGTCCGAGATGGAGCAGTTATTTTTCTTTTCTCCCAGAACAGAAAGCTTTCAAAACATTGCCTCTGTCAAGTACTCTACTTACGTATGAAACCACGGGGAACTTTCGTAGAACAATGCATGCACGAAGAAAAATTGGGATTACAATCCATAAATTCTGCCACCTGAAGCCCAGTGCTGGTTGGCAATTGGCTTTGAATAAAAATAAGCTGGGATTTACGGTTAGAAAGTGCCGTTGTAAATCTCAGGAATAGTACTGCTGTGTATTTCCGGGTTCGTAATTGATGCCAAGTGGAGGGTAATTAGCCCCGATCATGACGGTAAAAGTTGGTTTCCCTTTCTTTCGACACTGCTCTTCACATCTTTAATATCGTCAATTTTTCGATTGTTTTGTTCATGCATTCATATCATGTGTAAGTTTTTAAGGCACAGTCATTTGGAGGCATTGATTTAAAATGTGTGGGAATAAAAAAAAAAAACAACGAATTAAATACGAGCACTGTATAGTATTTTGAAACGAAATTTATGAACAATCGAACCTGGACTAGGTCATACAAATGCGATACAATTTCTCCACCTGTGTTGATGAGTATCTTGATTCTCGCCATCTTCTACTAGAAAACCTCACGTTGAAATACTCATTTGACACAAATCAGACGAAATAGGGCAGCTTCAATGACAAGTTACCTTAATTTAAATTTCAAATGCACAAACTTTTCAGAAACGTTCTCCGAAAGCTCCTCCTCACTGCTTTGAAAGCTGTTGGATATTTAACTTCATAAGTTCTTATAAGCGAGAAAGAAATTCAAAGAAACCAATCTAGAATCAGGGGTTCTTTCTTATTCGTTTATTTGTTGGCTTCGAGTCCATGTTCTTCGTCATGATCCGAAAATAAGTATCTCGCTGAAATATCTGACATTGATGATCGTGGATTTGATTGATGAGGGTAAAATTAACACGAAAATGTCACTGCCAATTAAAAGTGACCATGGTCTTCCGATGCCTTTTTCATCCTTAGATTATTTAAAAGAACTTTAATGATATTCGACCAGGAAGTCGTCGAGCCAGCATTGAGTGGCATCGTTGCTCTCTCGTTGAAGAAGTACTTTCCGCTCAAATTATGCGGGTTTGTTCACCTCGTCTTCTGATTGAAGATGTGGAAAAAGGTAATAAGTCCAAGAAAATGATTTCGATAAGATTCTAGGTATAATCTTGAGTTGTTTGGAGCAACTCGAATAGTCCTGTAATCTTGTGGCTGAGCTTCAACTAACGACGGCAAATGAAATATGTGGCCATCACTTTTGGGAATTTCAGAATAAAACACTGTATTGTATAGTACATTTTTTCTTGTATATCAAGAAAAAAATGTCTGTTGAGCTTGTCCTCGCTATAAAAAAAAAGAAAGATATGACACTTTTTGAGCACATTTGCTTACGACTCAACTTTAACCAAATTGGCTTTATGATCAAGAAATATTTATACCACAATAACGTAGACGTAGACCGTTGGAATATATGCGTTAGGCCGCCACAAAATTTAGAAAGATTCAATTACATTTATTTTGATCGTCAAACGCGTGGACTCAACCTTCACATTTTCAAGATTTTTCTCACATTTACTGGGCGAAAAATAAGCAAGTTTGTGTGTGTGTGTGTGTGTTTTTTTTTTAATCTCTCGTTATTTAAAAATATAGGCCTCATACGTGAAACTACTGAGTGGTCTATGCTCGATATTTTCGGAAATGGGCCCAACTAACGTTTTCAGCTCATTTTTTTTCGAACAAAAGAAAAGTTTATCCAAGATTCAAGCGCTACCCCGGTCTGTCACTCGATTAATTTCTTTCTTCTTTCCTGAACGAATTTTCGATGATATTGCAGGCGTAAGTTGATCGACGGTGCACGAGGCATTTTGCAGGGCACTTCCTCGTTGTTGTTGTGCTTCGACGAGAGTGAAGTGCGGAAGATCATCAAGGAGTGCAAAAAGGTTTTGGACTACTTGGCTGTGGCTGGAGTTATAGAAGACATGGAGGACCTGGTGGAGTTCGTGAAAGGCATTTCTCCTTGCCTGACAAAGGTGCGTGCAGAATGGAAATAATACCACGCTTTCGCTTCGTGCCCCGAGGAAAGAAGAGTATCCCTCGAGACAGAAAAAAAA